GTTAAGAGCAAGCCAATTACTTAGCCCAGGGATTACAGGGACTCTGATTTCCATTGCCCAGGGCAGGACAGACTGGTTCCAAAACACCTGCTTATAGGTATTGCATGGCATTTTACAAAAGGTTCTGGCACTGATGGGAGGAGGCTGTGTGCCAGCCAGCCTTACGCTGGTGCTCAGCAATGCAACCGACAACCTTGAAAGACATTCAGAGGCTTCTTAACTGAAGAAGCTGGGAGGGTCAATCAAATACCATCATCTGCAAGTTCAAGACAAAATGGTCATCTTATGGGAATGTTCTGGCTCTGGTTGCAAGCAGGGGATTGAATCAGGTGGCCTACAAGGCCCCGTCCAACTTTGATTTTACACTTAAAGGGTAAGACCAGATTAACATCATTCTGTATCCTGAGGGATGGTTCTGTAGCAGAATTCTAAACACTTGCCAGATTCTAATTCCCAGGAGTCCTTGGGGTAAGTTACGGCAATTAAAGTGGCAAAAACTTAATTGAGCTTTATAGTGTGGACAGGGCTATGCGGTAGCTGTTACTTCCACCTTACCTTTTGGAGCTGTCTGTTATTTCTCCCCTGCCTCCACCAATCTTTACTTCCAGATCCCCTTCCTTCCTTCCCTCCCTCCCATCTTTTACTGTCTTACCTTGGCGCTGCTTTAAAAGTCAAAATCATGTATGGATTTCACCTGGCCGAGGTGTGTGCGCGGTCAAATAATTGGTTAATGGCATGTTTAAAATGTGTACTTTAACCAGGCTTTTCAAATCAGAGCTGCTTCTTCTAAAAAGGGTATTATGTGCTGATGGCATTTCTGTTGACCGTCTCTGGGCATTTTGGCAGTGTATGGTTTTTGAAAATACCATTTTCTGAACAATAAATGATTAGGTGTTCAGTGGCCATGTTTACTTGCTTAGACACAAATGTCATTTGTATTGAAGCTGTAGTCTTCTGATCAACATTTTCAGGGAAGAAATGTTAATGGGCTGGGAGAAAGCTGTCTGCTTGATTGACTTCCTTCTCGTTGTCCACTTCTGTCCCATCACCTCCCATCATCCAGATTATTTTTTCTGGTAGCCAATTCAGCCCTCCTCCACTTGACTGCCTGTAACCCAGAGGAAATGTTTGCTGTTTGTTTTTATCATCTAATCATACCCAGTGTTAGGTTCACAATTTGCTTGGGGTGGAGGGAGTACTAATGATGCTTGTGAGGGGTGATAAGGACAATCGCTCCAAGTGCAACCTAATTTATAGCCCCAAACAGTTATTTGTTGTTTAAAGTAATTGAACATAGCTTAGACATGTTTTCTGTTCAGAAAACACACAGCATGATCTGTGCTCACACAGAGCTCATCCTTTGCATGCAAAAGTTCCCCAGTTTGAATCCCCAGCTTCTTTAGATAGGTCTGGGAGAGGCTGCTGTCTCAAGCTGTGGAAAATTTCTGCCAGTCAGTATAGATCAGGAGTAGGCAACCTAAGGCCCAGGGGCCGGATGTGGCCCAATGGCCTTCTCAATCCGGCCTGTGGACAGTCCGGGAATCAGGGTGTTTTTACATGAGTAGAATGTGTCCTTTTATTTAAAATGCGTCTATGGGTTATTTGTGGGGCATAGGAATTCATTTTTTAAAATCAAAATATAGTCCAGCTCACCACATGGTCTGAGGGACAGTGGACTGGCCCACAGCTGAAAAAGGTTGCTGACCCCTGGTATAGATATTACTTAGCTGCATGGCCTGACTTATCCTGTGCTTGTTTCTAGAACCAAATCCCACAAATTTAAACGAGCAGAGCAAACCTATACATATCACCTCAGAAATAAGTCCTATTGACTTCCATGGGACTTACTACCAGTTAAACCAATATTGGATTGTTGCCTTAGATATGTTTTTCTTTGAGGTGGTAGATGAAAAGTCATAGACTGGTTTGCATGGAGGCTTCCCTGGGTAGCAGGTTGGGCAGAATTGCACCTTAGCACTCTGCCACTGGCTTTTATGCCTGAGGTTTAACACAGCATATATAAGGAACTAAATACTCCAGCTGGGCAGAGAGGGAATTTGTGACACCTGACTGTGACCAGTTGCAACGGATCAGGATGAGCAAAAAAGCTCTGCCACTGCCAACCTGACTTGCTGTAGAGCACTAGGTGGTAGAAAGTGTCTATATGAGCAGCAAGACCTTGGGATTTCACCACCATTCTCAGTAGTACACAAACAAATGTTAATTGCTCGTTTAACTGTTTTAATTGCTATGCTTTTTAACAAGCTTTTTTATTGTAAAGTTTAATTAGGTCTGCTTTTAATGTTTTGATGAAATTGATTCATTGTGAATTTTAATTACATATGGATATTATAACTGGTAAACTGGTTAGAAGTCATTTTGCCCCTAAGTATATTAATTAATATATAAATATAATACATATAGCATACAGTATATAAATTAATAACAATAGCAATTATAATTCCATTCCTCTTTCCTACCAGCTTATAGCAGTTACTGCCTGCAGGGATCAATTTCCTTATAAAGAATATTGTTTTTAAACTTTTATATCTACACTTCTAGAAGGTAGAATCTCTGTGTGTGAAGAATTGAGAGCTGGTCCTGAATCTTGTCTGTAGAGTTTACACTATTTCTTCTTCTTTTTTCTCAGGCAATTTCACAACACAATTAAAAGAAACATATATAAAACTATTGCATATTTTTAAATTAGTTGTTATAAAGGGTTTTTTGGGGGGGTTATACAGTTGCATATTTAAAACAATTGCATATGTTAAAAACAATTTCAAATCCACTAAATATACTAACTGGGATCAAAATATCTACTTCCACATGTGCCAAAAAGTCAGAGATGGTGCCTCTCTGATGTGTAACAGTGGGGAGACCCAAATTGAAGGTACCCCCACACTAAGGCCCAATTTTGACATCACATGGACCTAGAGATAAGCTGTTATCTGCAGGTTGCCCCATGAGGCAGCGGGATGAGGCATCCTCCTCAGGCACCTGAACCAGAAGAAGAAGAGGAGTAGGAGAAGGAAGAGGAGTAGTAGTAGTAGTTTGGACTTGATATCCCACCTTTCACTCCCCTTAAGGAGTCTCAAAGCGGCTAACCATCTCCTTTCCCTTCCTCCCCCACAACAAACACTCTGTGAGGTGAGTGGGGCTGAGAGACTTCAGAGAAGTGTGACTAGCCCAAGGTCACCCAGCAGCTGCATGTGGAGGAGCAGGGAATCAAACCCGGTTCACCAGATTACGAGTCTACCGCTCTTAACCACCACACCCCAAGAGGCTGTACCCAGCAGGGATATCTCACTGAAATCACAGGAGATCTGGTGAGATCTCTCTGGGAGCTGGCACCATTGCTGCCACGCAAGCCAGGTAAGAGAGACTGAAGTGAGGCAGCCTTTTCCCATTTCACATCAGGTGGCAAAACAGGTCATGTGATCCGTGATGCAGAGCGCAGTAATCAGATGGGAGTATAAGGGGTTAGATGATCTTTTAGGCCACCTGGTAGCTAATTGGCGGCCAGTGCAGATCATTCAGCAGTTGTGTAATATCATGGCAATATTCTGCCCTGCTGAGTAGTTGAGCCATCCAATTTTTGCATTAGTCACAGCTTTCTGATCAGTTTCAAGTGAAGCTAGAACTTCTGGTAACCCTAGGAGGAACAAAATAATTAAAAAAATCCTTCCGGTACACCTTAAAGACCAACTAAGTTTGTTATTGGTATGAGCTTCCGTGTGCATGCACACTTCTTCAGATACACAGGAGGATGTTAAGCTTTGTAAATATATATCAAATTCCTTTATGCATCTTGTTTTACAAGCTCTCCTGCCTTGCTCCAGTCGGGAGCAATATCCGATTGGAGTATTGTTAATCTTGATTTATTGTACCTCAGCATGCATATGCTGCTTTATAGACCTGTTAGTTAGCATCCATCTGTCTTGAGAAACAATGGAGTACACCTCATGGGGAGGGGGTGAAGCCATACCGCTGTGTCAGCGCAAGCCTGGGCAGTGTGTATGGAGATCCTGGGCTGCCCAGATAAGACCACCCCCCCGGCCTCACTGATGTGGTTCAAAGGAAAGCACAGCAATACGTTTGGCACCAGCTGGGCTTCAGGAGTTTCAGGAAGGAGGCATACGAGGCGCTTTCAGAGGCGGAGCAAGGCGGATGTGTCCCGCCCCGGTTGTCATCCCTGAAGGGGGTGTGACATCGCCCCCTGACGCTCGCCCCCTCGGCTATCCCTGCCCCCTGAATGCATGCCACTCCAGATGCTGGAGCAGCTAGCTCCACCTCTGGGCACTATCCAGCCGTCTTAGAGACTCTACTCTGGATTTGTATAAGGTTTACTCCACTGGTCCTGTTAGCTAGGGATGATGGGAGTTGTAGTCCCAAAACATCTGGAGGGCCGAGTTTGCCTATGCCTGCCTTAGCCTTTTTTTCTTCTGAAGACATCCCACAAGACTGCGGAGGTTTAGGATCTGAGTTTTCCTTCTCCTAGATAGACTACCTTCCCAGGTTGATAAGCCCCATCTGCCCCTCACTCCCCTCTACAGCACATGCAGAAACCACCTTCTTGACTGTTGCACCCGCTATTGGTGTCATCTGCTCAGTCCTCTGGAGCCTTTTTTCACAGGCAGGGGAAGTCTTTTGACTCACCGAAGGTTTGAGACCCATCGGCTACCCTCACCTGGTTTAGCCAGTCAGTCCTGGGTTGTGGCTGCTGTCGCATGCCGACAGCTTCTAGGAGCCACAGGTGAGAACTGAGTGCAGGGTGGGGACCCAAGGTGGACAAACTACCCCAGAAGGAGCATGACGTGTTCCCCACCAAAGTAAAAATAAAGCTTCAATAACAATCAGACAACAAAAGGGATGGAGGAAGACAGGGACATATGTGTTAGTCTAAATATGCACAAAATGTAGTTGCAGACTCTTAATTGTAGAGTTGAAAGGAACCATGAGGGTCATCTAGTCCAACGCCCCGCAGTGCAGGAATCTTTTGCTTAATGTGGGGTTTGAACCCACAATCCTGAGATTGAGTCTTGTGCTATACCATCTGAGCTATCCCAGCAAATCCTCTGCATTTGGAACTGAACTCTAAGTTGGAGAAAAGTGCCTTCAAAGTGTGTGTGTGTGGGGGGGGAGTTATGAGTAGAAGTGATGGATGGAAAGATCCCTCACTTGTTCACATGAGGGTGAAGTTTACAGGACAAGGATATGTGTGTGTGTGTGTGTATGGGGGCAGGGGGAAGGGCGCATTAGGGCAGTGGATGCGGGTGGCACTGTGGGTTAAATCACAGAGCCTAGGGCTTGCCGATCAGAAGGTCAGTGGTTCAAATCCCCGTGACAGGGTGAGCTCCTGTTGCTCGGTCCCAGCTCCTGCCAACCTAGCAGTTCGAAAGCACATCAAAGTGCAAGTAGATAAATAGGTACCGCTCTGGTGGAAAGGTAAACGGTATTTCTGTGCACTGCTCTGGTTCACCAGAAGTGGCTTAGTCTTGCTGGCCACATGACCCGGAAGCTGTACGCCGGCTCCCTCGGCCAGTAAAGCAAGATGAGCTCTGCAACCCCAGAGTTGTCCGCGACTGGACCTAATGGTCAGGGGTCCCTTTACCTTTTACCCAAAGTGGATGGTACCACCTCCTGGGTAGAGTTGGGATGACCATGGGGGTCGCTAAGAGGCAAGGGGGCAGTGGGGCATGGGTGTGTGTGCTGAAAGTGTACTTAACTATTAGACTTTGAAAAGCTGGTATTCCCGGCTCAAATTTTGTTGAATTAATTAAACTAAATAGTTTTATTGTAATTGAATTTTTATTAATTTGCAATTAATTGTTGCTGCTTTGAATTTTATTGTACTACTATCTTCTTTAGTGGGTCATGCAAACTGCTGTTCTGAATAATGCTTTTTTTAAAAACAAAGAAACATTTTTATTAAAGATTTCTTGGTTTACAAAAGTATATGCAATGTCTTTTATTTTCAAGTTACATTTTCTACAGATCAGTTTCGTTTGTTGAGACATTAGTGTTACATGAGGAAGAAAAGGGGGAAAGAGGTGGAGAGCTGAATAATGCTTTTTATAGGGAAGGGGACACTGGAGATGAGTTTATGGAACGAAGGGGGCTGTGGCTTTAAAAGTTTGGGAACCTCTGCATTAGCACAATCTGTATCTCCACACATTGCAGGGAGGGATATATAATGAAAGAAGAAAAATAAAAACAAGTGTCACATTTGAGGGTACAGGTTCTAGTGCTGAGGATACCAGGGCTATCCCACCCCCCCCACCCCCGCACTTGCATGTTACCCAGAGCTGTGCATTGAAATCTTGTGAGCTGAGGTTAGATGTTAGCAGACAACTGCCCTGTCCTTTCGCTGCTGTTTCCCTGCCACCTTCCTTTTCAGCTTCTGGTTTTTGGATGAGGTTTTTGTTGTTGTTGCTGCAAGCCCTGTAAGCCTGCCTTACCGTAAAATGGCCTCACGTCCACCCACCCACCGCCCCCTCCTCTCTCTCATTCACTTTGCCCTTTGAGGTCGATATTATTCTTCCTTCCACACTTCTTCTGGTTGCGCTTCATAGCTTGCAGGATGTTCTCGGCACATCTCAAGAAGCGGAAGTGCTGAGCTCATGGAAACAGATCTGAGCTTGTAGAGAGGAGAAGCACACTCTCCTTTGGGGGGGGGAGAGGGAGAGAACTAGCGCAGGTGCAATGCTTTGTGAACAGTGGCCTCTGCTGCTTCACAGGTAAGTGAACATTGTGCCTGTGCTATAATTAGACTGACCAGTTTGTGCAAAAACCGAAACCGGCAACTGTATTTCTCTCTCTCTCTCTCGATTTTGGAAAGGAAACTAGGTCATTTCTGAAAATGGGCAGCCTGAGCGGCGGAACAGAGGTATGCACTGGGTTTCTGAACCGTGTCATGTGCTAATTAATGACTTGGGCCAAAGTCAGAAAGCAACTAGCCGGTTGCCCTTCACTGGAGTTTTGCATGCAGGTGATTCTTTCAGATCCTTATTGCTGCTCTTAGTAGCAACTGCTGTATTTAGTCCATAGAAGGAATCAAACATGATGTGGAAGAACTGTGCTGTGTTTGAAAGCAGAAGGAAAGCTTTACGATGGGATTGGGGGCGCCTACCTTTAGGCAGCATGAGGTGAGCACATCTGGCAGTTGATTTGGTGTGTCATGAAAGGAGTGCAAATTGTTTGTATCCTGTTTTTAGCAAGGGAGGGTGATCTCTTTGGGCAAACCGGGCCCAGCTTCGTCAACCTCAGTCAGCCGTTAGCCAGTCTCCACTTACCTGCCTTCTTACTAACAACTACAGTGGTACCTCGGGTTAAGAACTTAATTCGTTCCGGAGGTCTGTTCTTAACCTGAAACTGTTCTTAACCTTAAGCACCATTTTAGCTAATGGGGCCTCCCGCTGCCGCCGCACCACCGGAGCACGATTTCTGTTCTCATCCTGAAGCAAAGTTATTAACCTGAAGCACTGTTTCTGGGTTGGCGGAGTTTGTAACCTGAAGCGTATGTAACCTGAAGCATATGTAACCTGAGGTACCACTGTACTTGTCAACTTCCTCCTCCTTAGTGTCATCTGCCCAAAGGAAGATGGGGACAAAACTATAATGAGTTGCCTCTGCCAGTCATTGGCTCTTGCAGAGTTTGCTCCACCTACTGTTGTCCATCCTGCCTAATGGGCTCCAGCCACCACTGCTGCCAAGTCACAAAAGCTGGGGGTCATAAAGTGCCATGCCACCATTTTGTGACTTGCTCCCTTACCACCTGCCACCATTTTGTGACTGGTGGACCTCCTTAATTTTCAGGGTAGTCCGTGGGTGTAGAAACTTTGGAAAACCTGGGAACTAGCTGCAGGGTTTCCAAACTTCCTCTCCTTTGGTGCACAGCTTCTCTTTCTCTGTTTCCTGTGGATTGCTAACCGCAGTTTGTCACCTTGGACACCAAACTACAGTTAACATTGAACAGGTAATGGAGAGGAAAGCTCTGTGCAAAGGGGAGTCCATGGTGCATTTGCAAGAGGCTCTTCAGAACTGAGCTGAAAAGGCAGAACTTTGAGGATGAGAAAAAAACAGTGGAAATACGGAGCAATGGTTGCAGGCTATTATTTAAATTAGCAGGTGCAATTATGTACTGTGAAATGCAATTAGTGTGAAGAGTGGGGAATATACACAAGCCATAAGTAGTCATGTTGGTCTCTTGGAGAGCGAAAAGCCATTCCCACAAGCGTAGCAGTAATGCCTTTTATTAGGATTGACTAAAATGTAACAAGTCGTGAACAATCTTGAGGTCCTCAGGAACTTATTTCCCCCCCCCCCCCGCTCCCTTGTTGTTATGTGTAATATCCAGCATTGAAGCCTCCAAAGACTGCACAATGTTAATTTGTATTCACTTTCCTTAGTGCAAGGGGGGACGGGGGGGGGTTGGTGGAGGGCAAAATAATTATGAATATATTGCCTTCAACAGGAAAAGACACATTTTCCAGGTGACCAGTTTGCCAAGCATTCACCCAGATTTGTCTGCGGGGAGCTTTAATGTTTATTGAGCATTAATTCTGATTTATTTGCGGAAGGTTAGACAATATTGCACCAAACACATGTTATCCCATACTTTCCTGTGCATTTTCCTGTTGTTTTACTTAAAACATGGTGTGCATGTGCAAGCGGGTTTATCGCACAAGAGCTCCAAATCACCTTTTAGTCATACAACCTCAATTTGGTGGTATGTGATTAAATCCCACCTGAAAAATGTAGCAGCCTGGATACACTTCTAGTAGTATTTCAACTGTATGTGTGTGATAGTGGTTAGGATCAGTCTAGGACCTAGGATACCAGGATTAAAATCCCACTCAAATCATGAAGTCCACTGGGTGACCTTGAGCCAGTCACTCTCTCTTAGCCTGACCCACTTCACAAGGTTGTTGTTGATAGGGGGTGGAATGGAGAAGAGGAGAAGCAGATACCAAACCTTTAGGTTCTTGGAGGCAAGGTAGGATATAAATGTAATACAGTAGGCCTGCCACTTCTGGGGGGTCTGTGCACAAAGGCAAAAGCTTGCAAAGTTAGGAATCACTGGAACACGCGGCCCCCCCCCTCCAACTGCAAGGCAGACAGCTGCTTTACCAGGCTCTGGGAACATCATAGGAGGGCTCTAGGAGCATCCCAGGGGCCTTGTGCAACCTTCCCAAAGCCCACTAAGTGAGGTGGAAGGACATAAGAAGGTATTTCTGGTTGTGCGGGTGGGAGGGAAAAAATGGAGGTGCTGGTGGTGAAACAGGAGTTTCCCTCCATCATTCGTTCATTCATTCATTCTCCCCTACCCCATGAAAGGTTGTAATCGCATAAGTAAAGTGAGCATAAGCTGGGTTGAAACTATGCTTTATTTCCCCCATGTCAAAGACTTAGTTTGGCACACACACCCCATGTACATTTGCATACAATGCCTCAATGGCGCCCCTCTGGAGGCTACACCCATGGGGGGGGAAATCCAGCTAGCCCCCCCCGCCCCCGCCAGCTACAGCTCTGCATACCTGCCGCCCACTCTAGGAATATGTTTCAGGGGCTACCAAAGCTTGCTTTTTCAGAAGGGCTGATGTGAGAAATGTACCCCAGTGCTTTTGGGGAAAGCAGAAAATGTGCTCTGGCATACGGAATGGCTTGGGATATGGGGCATTTGCAGCTGGGGTTCTGATCAGCCTTCCTTGTAGTTTTTCCACCCCTCCCCCTGTGTTGCTACGAGTAGGAGTTAGGTTGCCTTGAGAGCTCTTCAAGTTTCCACCTCTGCTTTTGCTTCCAAACATATCTATCCCTCCAGAGGCTCTCTCACCCGTGTCTCTGTTTCTCACTGTCTCCTATTAGCGGGGATGTTTGTTTCACTCTGTGTGGTATAGCACTGGGTGAGTCAGAAATGCTCTGCTTTTAAAAGGGAAAAAAACACACCGTTCAACTTGCCCTCCAAAGAGTGAAGCATTTTGCAAAGAGTTATGGTATTTCAAGAGCTTTGTGGTTACTTACCTCTTCCCCCCTTTCTGCTAAGGAGGGTGGTTGAGTGATAGAGGCCAG